ACCCAATGGTGATACTGCTGTAAAACTGGGCTTTTCTAATTTTTCTGATCATGTAAGAGTCCATACCTATTTCATATCCCAACACCAAGTTCCAGCCACAAACTTACAGAATATAAAACTCTCATCTGCTATTAAACAGCAACAGGTGATGGAAAATGAGATTTATATAGTTCACTGATGAAAACATAAAAAGCTGTAAGAGCCATCGGATGAACAAATGTGTACTCACTCATACATTGACTCATTCATTGGACATTAATGACCGCATATAAAATGAATTTAATGCCACTCCATCTCATTTCCCACACCAACAATTCACAGCTTGGACTGGGATGAATTGGCAGATGCAAGAGAGCAGCCAAGGGTTTGTGGCTATTATGAGTGAGCATAGCTTGGCTGGAGTGTAATGCAGATCAAGGCAGCACATGCCTGCCAGATATTGTGTTTGAGGAGTTTGTTCTGCCTTTTCCTGTGCATAAACAGTTGCCTTCCGTCCCCACGCAGCGTTTCCCAGAAATTCTGGAATGTCTTATCGCATTCTTTTAAGACTGATTTCCTCCCATTTCTACCTGTTCTCAAGGTTTTATTTTGCCATTGCTCATATGTTATGCCCTGTGGCCTCTTTAATCTTAATGGGTATTTTATGTGTTTATGTTGTGTGAGCTCATTTCTGTATACTAAAATTCATGTTAGTTTTTTAGTATTCCATACAGGTAAAAAATTAATCCATTGAGATGTCTACTCTGTATTAAATGTGCTGTTCCAGTTTACAGTTAAACTTTGTTAAAATTACAGCTATGATTGCTGTATCTTTTTTGGGTATAAAGAAACTTGGTGTTCATATGTATTAGAGACTTAAGACTTAATTCAGTAGAAACTCTTTGACGTGTCCATGAGACCCCACTAATAAATGAAAATGTATAGTGAATTTTGGAGAAATTATGATAATATTCAAAGTATTTTCTCTTAAAAAGTAAGAAATTATATATTCTTCCTTTTGTTTTGTATCTTAACTTTGTTTCTTAATCATAATTTCATGTTATCCTTCTTCACTGTTTGCTAGAAAATTTTTTCTCTGTGTTTTTTACTCTCAGAATTAGGCAGCTATTCACTTTTAGACACACAGTCCAGTTCTTACTAGAGCCACATTTTTAAAGACTTTGTGTATCTGTACTCTCACTGTGTTTGTTAGATATACTACAATTTTTGTCTGCAAGTTGTTTGCTGGTCTTACAGACCTTCCCAGATTGTTTAGCTCTGCTAACTCTTTCCTAGGATACTGAGATTTGCCAACCTGAGCATGTCTTCCAGCACTGAGGGCTGTTCTTTATTCAGCCTTAGAGATGTCTATCAAATAAAGTACTGTAAGGCAAAGTACTTGCAAATCAGTGCTAAACAAAGTAAAGGACAAACAAATCAGAGATGTGGAAATAGCCTGAGACAAGTATGCAGGCAAGGACAGGAATGCAGAAGGTGAAATATTGCACATTTGAAGATTTGAAGATGGTGAAAATACTGATTATGAGCTTGAACTTTTCCCAGCATATTTGAGACAGAGTAATGAGAAGGGTATACTAAAATGGGAAAATATGTTTCATGCTAGAACTAGTAACTGCATATTTATTTCCTGCAGGCCTTCAGGAATTTTGCTGTTTCCACAACAAAATCTGCAGCAAATTCTTTTTCCTCCTAAGCTTTTGTCTGTATCAATTTCTATAACATTGCATTTACAGTCTTCTTCTTACTCCAGCTGTACAGAGAGTGCTGGCTGGGCTGGAGTCACAGCCTCAGTGTCACTGCCCAGCAGCTAAGACTACTTTATGCCCATTCACCTTCCTTTTTCAGATTCAAGTCTATTTAAAAAAATGCATTTCTACAAAAGATCTATGTTACATATACCACACTTCAGCACTGAATATTTTCATGCCCTGGATGGCTTGCTAAAAACTTCTTATGCAATTATGCAGATCACAATGTCTTTTTATCAATATTATGGGTGTTCCATGATGAGTCCGAAGGCAAAATAAAGATTTTATCATGAAATAGGTTCTCACAGTACCCATTAAAACAAATCAATTATCACAAACCTAAATTAGTTTGTAAAGGAAACAGGATAAAGCAGAAAGCCCACTGGGGATTTCTAACATGGCTGCTGCAGTTCTGAGAAACTGCACATCTCCCCTTTAATTTTATTGTTCAAAGGAATAAACAATCTTCACCTCAAACGTAGGAATGCCTCTCTGAATTATAGAAGGAATCAAACACTCTAGTAGAAGCCAATAATTGTCAATACAAAGAGAAAAAACCCATTTATTAGGAAGAAAAAAGAATAGTTATGATTAATGACTTCTGTTTGCTCAAGCAGTTTTGATTTATATAGCAATTTCATACCTTATAATTATGTATTCTTTCATGTGGTACATAAATTTGCAAATACTCAGAGTGGTAGATGTAATGCCTCTCTGTCCAGTGCTCACATTTCCCACTGACATGCTCAGAGGTGTTGACTGACCATTTTAGTTGTAACATTATATTGAAGGAAATACTTAACTTAAGGCTCTGAAATTATTTTTTTTCCATGTGTTTCATGACTAATCACAGACCAGGAATTGCTAAGTGACTGTTGGATTGCCATGATTACCTGATGCATGTACATCTGCACCAATAACTGTGTTAGGCAAGATTTTATTGTGATTGCTGACCCTGCCAGTCATCATTACAGCAATGAGACTATTTCTGTTTTTTCCAGTCAGCCCTCCAAGCTGAAGCTTGGGTAATGCAAAATCATTATCAAAGTTCTAGCAGCAGTTCTAATTGTGCACAAATCCAGTTCTGGTGTCTTCTTTCACTGCTAAAACTTCTCCAGAGGCACCAGTCCCTCCCAACAAGTCTCACCTTGTGTCTCCCTCAGCACCATGGCCTGATGAATGTCTATGTTCCCCTACAGGTCTCCACAGTTCTTACCCACTGTGTCCTTTATGTTGTAGCCCTTCTTTTCCAGAGAAGTGAGCAGCTGATGTACCCACTGCCTCTCAGTTGTCTCTAGCCTCTGACTTCAGTAAATCTGCAAGTAAATTCTGCTGCTGTTCTCCCATTTCTTGTCTTGTCCAATCCTCTAGTTCAAATTATGCAGTATTAGGAAAGCAGCATTACATTTTTAGGGTTTCCCCAGTTTCAGCATTCCCCAGTCTTAGTGTTGCATGTCAGAAAGGTGATATTTGCTCTTACCAGATTCTATTTTCCCTTGGGATCAATGCTTTCTCAAGTGTCTGTGTAGTTCCCTGCCAGGTTCTTCAGGAAATTCCTGGAGTCTTTCTGCTGGAGATTGTTTCAGGAAATCCTTAATAATGTCTAGTTTCCTAATTCTGCACTTATTAGCTCTTATTGCCACTTTGCCCTTGTATTCAGGTACAACTGGGAATCTCAACCTATTGTATTCAAAAAGATCCATGAACTTTTGACCTGCCACAGCTAAGAAAGTAAATTGTAAGAGTCTCAACCTAGCAGAATGATTAAGTGGGAACAGTCTTCATTACAGGTGGAAACACTATTAAATTACTCCTGTTTCTCAACTAAACTGAGCAGTGAAAAGTTTTGTTTCATCTTTGAGCAGTTAGTAGTAGTCAAAGGAACAATGTGAGCTTCTGCAAAACCAAAGACTTTTTGTCCAATGAAGGCTGGAAATTATATTCAGTTTTATTTTTCCTCTTCAAAAATCTGTACTGCTGTAAAGACTTGCTTAAATCTGATTTCATCCAGTGTCTGCCTGTTTCTCATTCAGAGTGCCTAATTATACCAGCACTGAGCATAGGCTTGGATAAAATCAGTGTGTGAGGTAAGCAAGCAAAAATTTGTGGCTCTGCTGATTTTCTAGAAGTTTGAATGTCTTAATAGTGTTGAAAGACTTTCCTTGAAGAAGATTCAGAGAAATACACCATTTTCTCTAAGCTCCTCAGCTAAAACCTTCACAACAAGACATCTTTAATGACAAAAAAGCTTTCATAGCAAAGCATAGAAAACTTTGGTTTTAAAAATGCAACCAGACTCATGAAAAAAATTGACAGTCTCATGGGGAGACTTTTTTCCCAAATGGTGCAGCTATCATCAAGTATCTCTGATAGCAATTAATCTCCATGTTTCAAAAACAATTTTTGTAGGTATTTTTTTTCAGAGAGTGAGTGTATGATTTCCCCCAACACCCTTCCATTTAAACCAAATGATCAATATTCTTCAGTGCTTTCAGTTGTTAATAATTTCAGTATTCTTTCTGAAGCTGCATTTTGATAAGGAAAACTATAGGTGGCACATACTTGATTGCAGAGTCATAGCTTTTCATTTTTCACATTGCTAAATCCATTAGCATTTTTGTAGGACTGTTTTATGTCAGTGGGGAGAGAATGGGAACTGGGATGGAGGACACTTGTCTGGGAGTAATCTGGATGCACTCTTGAGTTCAGAATCAGCCACTGCTGCTGTTTTATGGAGCCTTGCTATTGTGGAGCTCTGTAAGGCATATGGAGCAAGCAATGCTTGCTTCTATCAGTCATTTCTTGAAAAAAGATTGGATATTTCTGTTAGTGAAGCCCTGACAATAATCTTATTTAAACAAGCTTTAGGTCAGACTTCTGCTTTGAGTCTCTAGACCCTCACATCTTGAAGAAATGCTGCTGCTGGAAATAATTAACTTTTCTCAAGAGCCACTATTAAATCCTCCTCAATCTGAAAAACTAGTAATACAGTAGTAGGATTTTTCCTAACCAAGAATTTAATTGAAAAGGAAAGGGGAAGATTAAAATTAAAATTAATAATTTAATTTCCTATGAACTATCACTATGAACATTTGTAAAGAAGTTGTGCATTCCTGGCTGAAAACAGAAGCCCTTAAGCCCATATCTTACAATTTTGTAGTTATTAAATTATTATTGACTTTAAATAAGTTTTCTGTGGGGATAACTAATTAATTTTAACAGAAAATGTATGATTTTTGTTTGTTTGTTTAGGAAAGGGATTCCAATTGAACAAGTGAAACATGGTGATAGAGAGCAAGCAAAGCGTATTGTTTACTCTGTGGTTTATGGAGCAGGTAGGCATTTATCGAAAAACCCAACCACTGTAAATTTATACTTTATTCATCATTTATATAAGTAGAATGAAATTATAAAGGTGAGTAAAAGTTTATAAGAGTATTGCATTTATATTTTTAACCAGTATTATTAAATTATCTACTCAGTATAAAAATTATGAAATTAATGTAGTTGCATTGTCATATACAAAGATTGCCTGATTTTGTATTTTTTTACTGCTGATATAACTGAAGCATATGTCTAATTTTGAGTGGAGTTTTTAATTAACTAATTAACTAGAAATAACTAATTCTCTTACTATATAGACAGAGATGAGAATAACTGCAATGAAATTTTTAAAACTCCATTATTATTTGAAATCACATTTATAGAATCAGAGAATGGCAGAGATTGGGAAGGACCTCTGGAGGTCATCAGATCCAGCCTCCTCTTTAACCAGGGCTGTTTGCCCAGGTCTGTGTCCAGATTTTCAATGTCTTCAGGGCTGGAGAAAGGGCTCTTCAAGGCTCCACAGCCTCCCTGGGCAACCTGTGCCAGTGCTTGCTCACTCACAGTGTAAAAGTGTTTCCTTACTTTGAGTCTTAATGTTTGCTGCCATTTCTTCACAACTGCAGAAAATTTGCAAAAATCCACTGTTACCCATTCTGCCTAAGTCATGACCAGGTCCTAGATAAATCAAGATGTTCTTCACACTTTCCAAAACTGCCTGCTATTTCTAAATGATGCCCAACTCTCCTTATACTTCCTACATGCCTTGAGTGACCTTTTCTAGGGAGACAGATGCATGTATGTCATCAGCCTAAAAGCTCTTGTGAATTGGTTTCAGTGAGCACCTGAGTAACTTTCTTTACAGAGGATGAGTTCTTGAAAAAGTCATTTAGGAAATCAGAGCCCTGAGCTGCAAACTTTATGTAACTTGGAAACACTTAATGCTACATCTTGAGTTCCTGGTCGTGAATGCTTTCTAAGCCATCTTTTGCACTGAGTCCTTGAACCAAAGGCAGGATCAGCCAGGGTATTCCATTTATCATTTATGGTATTCAGTTGGGAAGAAATGCATCAAATTCAGCTCTCCTGAATATCTATTTTATGTTTAGGGGTGTATGTGTGTGTACATATGCATACACACCTGCATTTTTACATTAAGCTGTATTGCATTTGAAACCTCTGTGTTTAAAATCTGTATTTAAAAAGCCCAGCATTAGTAGTACCCTACACTGTAAATTTAGACCTGTCTGTGCTGAGACTGGAATCAAACCTTCCATTTCCCACCTGAATAGTTTCATCACTGGGTTGTTTTACAAAATGGCAGCATTGTGACCCCTGTCCCTTGGTCCATGCAAAAGGTCCACATTTCCTATCTCTTCCCTTCACTGTGGGTGGAACAGGCAGATATCAGATGTAATCAGAAGAATCTCCACCAGTTTAATATAGTCAGAAATGCCTCAATTCTTGGGGCTCAGTGGATCCTATGTCTGTCTACTAACCTATAGAGAACTTTAATGTTTACATTTAAGCACAGTATTGGCACTCCCTCACTTGATCTGAACCAGACACTAAAGATTTCAGTGCTTGATATAAGTGTCTCCATTCACTTGTTTGCTTTGTGTCCCTCTCTCTCAAACAAGGGCAGTTGAAGCACCTCAAAGATAATAAGAAGTTTCCAGTTCATTAGAAGTGTGATCAGATCCTAATTAAGACATGAAATGATATCATTAAACCACTTAGATGGAAACTGGGCTGACAAAAAGTAATTGTTAGATACCTGAAATTGATGGTCTGAATTCCACCCACAGTTTGTCTCCCTTCAAAAGACAGCTCACTTTTCATAAATGAGACATTTTTATACAACTGAAGAGTGTGAATAATATTTCTTTTAGGATTGAAAACTACAAAAACACTCCCTGAGGAGCTTGCCTGTATTATGCTTACAGGAGCTAATAAAACCCTTTCATGTAGTAAATAGTAATCTTTTTATTTTCTTTTTGTTTTCTTAGCTTGTCTGTTTTGTTTTCTTAAGTTGCACTTGGTTCGTGCTTTCAAGGTCTTTTCTTTAATTCTGAAGGATAATAAAGGAAAAAGAAGATTGGTAATTAGGAAAAAGCTTTCACCCAGAGAGGTGGTTGGGCCCTGGAACAGGCTCCCCAGGGCAGTGGTCACAGCCCTAAGCCTGACTAGAATTCAAGAAGTATTTGGGCAACATTTCCAGGCACATGGTGTGACTCTTGGGGTGTCCTGTGCAGGCCCAGGAATTGATCCTTGTGGGTCCTTTCCAGCTCAGAAGATTCTTTAAGTATTTTTGGTTGGTTTGGAGCAGTTCAATTCACCTGCTTCTGCCTTAGTCATCTTGTAGAACTAAAACACAGGCAACTTAAACATCTGTAAAATAAGGAATTCCTTCTATTCAATGGCACTATGTTCAAGCCCTGGACTGACACAGAGGGCTATCACAGTGTTTAAATGAAAACTAATGCTATTTTCATTTTTGAAAGATGATATTGCAGAATGGAGAACACTGAAGCTCACAGGCTGCTGCTGATAATTACCCTGGCACAGATAACTCAAGAAGAGTGCTCAGGGAAGATTTAGTCCATCCTGGGCTTTGCCTTGCATGGCCTGTGCTCCTGCACTGTGGAGCATGATCTGACACAATTATGTAGCTGTTCATTCCCCTCTTTTTGCTTCCTGGGAACTGCATTTCCCTGGGACCTTCCAGATGTCCTTGCTAATATTGTGCTTTAATTTTCCTAGTATTTTATGCAATTGTTCTGTATATTAATAGTTATTTAAATGGATAACATGGACAAACTTAGATGTTACAGTTCTCTAAGGAAGCTACAGTAGTCTCTTAGCTGTTAGCAACGCATGCTTTATCAAATAGATTTGTCATTTGCTGACCCAGGAAGAAAACCCAAATTAATTAGATGTCAAAAAAAAAAAAAAAAGAGTACAAATCTATAGTAGCTCAGCAAATGTCATCCTGGATGTCTGGGTGAATTTCTTCCTCTAGCACCTTGTCCAGACTGGTGTTCTTGCAGCTCAGTGCAGATCCTGGCGTGACTGAGAACAAAATGCTACAAGAATTGTTCTGAAATGCACATCAGCCTGACAGTGATGGCATTTAGATGGCTGCAATCCTCTCTCTTTTTAAAGTGCCAGACAATTTTTCTTGACAGTCTTACTGTGACAATGACTATTCTGTGCCTTTGGTGCCTTGAGATGTCTCCTCTCAGCTTATGCTCTTTGCAGACAGTGCTGGTTCTGTGTTGCTGTGCAGCTGACATAAATATATCTGTCTTTCAAACTTCATATGACTAATGTTGATGTATGTTTTATTTTTTACTGGAACTTTTTGATTTATAAGTGGATTTAAACGGTAACTCTTAGTTTATATTTTAACACTCTGGAATATCTTCAGGTTTTTTCCACATTTTCTTATAAATGCTCTTAGATCCAGCAGAACATATATTGTGCACCTATATCCTGTCCAAAAGCTATTATTCCTTTCTCCCTCTGTTGGAACATGTTTTCTGTTTTTTTCTTTTCCCATTTTTTTCTTTTTCCAACCCTTTTATCTCAAAACTTGGACCCCAATTTCTACTGACATTGAGGTGCCTAGGACTCTTTGAAATCTGTGGGACCCAGCCTCCAAACATCCTTTCTAAATTCAGACTGAATTCTAAAGCTTCTAGCTAAATTTAAACATCTCCAACCTTTTTTAGATCTTCAATATATTTGTGTTTGTTAAAAGTTAGGTTCAAGTCTTTATCTGCTCTTCAAAGTTTGGAGATTGCAACACTGATCTAGTAAAATGATACTTAAAGCAACAGCATTGCTTTGTGAACAAAAGAGATTTCAACCACTTTATAGGTATAAATTTTAACTAGGAATTTCTTAATTACATACTTCCTATATATTTCTTACTAATTATATACTTAATCCAGTAACTTCAGTAAAACATTCAAGCTCAGGGTTAAACATTTATTTTGCTGCAATATGATTTTAGTGTATCAGATCCATCTTCTTTCATAGAGGTAAGTAAAGTTAATTAATTCCACTAATTGTGCATGAAAACAGTGCTATTGTATGTAGTGGTTTTCTGTTCTGCTTTATTGCACACAGAGATAATTTCTGTGCCACCAGGTAAAGAACGTCTCGCTGACTGCTTGGGAATTACTCCTGTTCAAGCCAGTCAATTTATAGAGAGTTTTATGCAAAAATACAAGAAAGTGCATGAATTTACAAAGAAAACCATTGAGCAGTGCCGGAATAAAGGTAATCCAAAGTCTGTGACCATATTTTGTTTATTGATCTGCACTGTGTGACAGTGGTGAGGACAAAGATTCAACTTGACCCAAATTCAGATCGTTACAGGACAACAGAAAAGGATGGAATATCCTTTCTTGGTGAATCAGGTTTGGGGTTTTCTTCTTTTTTAGCCCTAAAAGGAGCTGGTTAAGTCTGCCTTTTCTCAGAAAGACACTAACAGAATAAGACATCTGTTCTCAGAATGAACCCCACTTAATGTCAAGTTACACTGCATCATTTTGACATATAATGTACTCCAACAGAAAAAAAGCCCAAGGAATCTTCTACCTAATAAATTGGGTACATGGCTGCTGGACCGTGGAAGTTCAGTCAATTTACACAGCCCATTTTTTTAAACTTATTTTTTCTTTGCATCAATCAGAATTTATGTTCTTGAAGTTCAGGTGGTAGCTGTAGTGACAGATGTGCACAGAGTGCTTCTGGAGCCAGCAGCTGCAAACTCTTCTTGCACCAAATTTGTTTTTAGTCTAAATATTCATTTATATTTAGTGAATCCTAGGAGTGCAGTAATTTGAGAAGAGAAAACATAGCTGCTTGAAATATTGTCTTTTAAAAGCTAATCAGTGGAACCGTCAAAATTGAGTTCTTTGTTTCTTAAAAGGGCAGGCAGTACTAAGACATTTTTTATAAATAAATAGTAAATTTGCAATATAATATTACCCATCAATATGGGTGAGTGTCATGACAGAAACATATAATTCACTTCTAGTCATGAAAATTGGTAGTATTAATTTTTTGTACTTTGTAGGTTCTCAAAATCTACTGGAAGTATGAACTGTCATTGTGTCACACATTTGCATTCCTTTGTTTATTAATATTGCTCAAGAAAAGTGAAGTTACTGAACATCCATTTTTAACTGTAATTAAGCCAAACATAACATACTTACTAAAATATTACACATTTATTATATATTTATGGTATATTTAAAATAATTTAGCATTCTTTTCTTTAAAGTGAATGAATTTCAATGAACAGACTTCTGTGCAAGAGAATCTCCTTTATGAGTTCAGTAGACAGGAACATCATGACTAATACTCTCAAGTCATCACAGCACCCTTGTCTAATTACTTCTTACTCCTTCTTACATTCCTGCCTATCAACCATTTTAACCATTAATAGTAGAAGGGCAACCTGTTTAGGTTGTACAAGCTTTAGAAATCTGCAGCAGATCAATATTATTTAATATTTTTCTTGTTAATCCACCTTGGATTCTAACTTTCAAAAAAAACCCAGAAAACATTCCAACCTATTAACCTATTGAGCTCATTAGAAGGTGATTTTTCTTAACTTATCTGCAGTTCAAGGGTGAGCAGCACGGCCCTGACTAATATTTTTTAAGTGTTATGAATGTCTGATGCTCCTTGTAGACAACAAAAGCATATAAATAATTCTGTTATGAGGAAGATATTTGTTAGTGTATATATTACTATCCTGCTGTTGTTTTTATGAAATTATTGACATATTGAAAAGACCACATTAAGGCCTCATTCAGGCATGCATTTGCAGATTAATCATTGACACCAGGCACCTTCTTTGCCACTGTTACATAAATGATGGTGCTTGTCTGGGGATGCTGCTCAGTTATGAGGAGTCACTCCTCACAGGAATCAGGATATTGCAGCAAATCTGATTTTACCTAAGAATACAATATTTCAAGAATTCCATCTTTAAATGCTGTTTTTCATGGAAAATGTTAGTTAAATTGGGAAGACTGATTTGCCAAAGAATACCCTAACTTCCTGATAATTCAGTTTCTTGTTTCAAAACTGGTACTTTTGGTCTCACCCCTCCTGGAAATGCACTAATTCAGAGAAAGCTGAATTAATTCATCCTCTGCACACAAGCTTGGGTATGTGTTGTCCATAATAAAGTGATAACTTTTTGTTTGAAGAGGTCTCCTCACCGCTTGTGCTTGCACAGCAGAGGAGATGAAACTGTGTCAGTCTGAATTTTCATGGTATCTAATGGTGATTCATGGGTAGTCAAGGTGATCAGAAATATAAAGAAAAAGATGCATTTTTAACATGGATGGTTTTTCATTTTTCTTAAAATAAGAATAGAAGTTTATTTTTGCAGATGAGCTAAGTTTGTGTGTGTTATTTTGACAAGAGGAACCTCATATCGCTTTTCCTATCTCAATTCCTCTCACTTGTGCTCCAAATAGAGTTTTTTAGGAAAACACATCATAGGGCCTAACATAAAGCTTTAACTATGTTTATATGTTTATTTTAAACTAAAAATTCCCACCACACGAGAGTTAAGGAGGTTTGGCTGTGAAAGGAGCACAGAAATACTATATAAAGAAAATGGAAAAAAAAAAAATTTTTCCCAAAAAATCCTATTTTATATTTTTGGGAAATATTAATTACTGATTTAATTACTCTACAAATAGATTTTTCTTTTTTATTCCCAAGTAAACTATTCATTGTGTGGAAAGCTCTAATTATGGCTGCTAATAGATAGCTAATTCTGCTAGGTATTTATAGTTTCATCTCCCACAGAGAGAGTTTGCTGGTTTATCAGTAGACATTCCTAATAAAAATTTAACAGCCTTAAAGAACAAAAGTTTTCCTTGTATAGCATGTACCAATTCTCTGAATTAAATAATACTTACACCAAAATAAGTGTTTAAATAAGCTCTAACTATTTTCAGTGAACAAAATATTAAATTGACTCAGGCAGCACATAATTAAAAATATCTGTATTATTTTCAAAAATTATTTTTGAAATTTGATTTTAATCACTCTTATCAATAAAAGTAATTTTTGTTTAAATCCTGCAAGGTTATGTGGTTTCCATAATGGGACGCAAAAGGCCCCTGGCCAACATCAATGCACAGGATTACAAACTCCGCACTCAAGCAGAGAGGCAGGCTGTAAATTTTGTTGTTCAAGGTAAAGATCTGCCTCCCTACCTTCCTCTCTACCCACCTGTCTTTATCCCTGCTTGGCTTTAGTAGGCAACAACTCTGATAATCTCAGAAGAATGAATACTACAGTAGTCTACTAGAGTAGGCGTGAGTTTGCCTGTGAAAAAGAAGTTAAAATTATATATTCCATCTACCTTGGAAATTGCCAGTAAACAGAATAATATAATAATAATTATAATATTAATAACAGCAACAGTATAAATGTCCTAATGCACTACAGTGCTCTGTGATAGTAAAACATAGGTATTGATATAAACGATGTATAGAGAGAATATCTAGAATTCCATTCTTCAGGTGTATTGTTTCTTTAGACACTTTCCTTTCTGGTTCTTATAATTTGTTACTCCAGAAGGGTTTCAGTGATTCTTTCTTTGATTCTTTCTGTGATTTCTTACAGATTCCAGCTTTTATTTTTCCAGGTAGCTTTAGTTTCAGAAATACAGAATGTTACAATAATTGTGCATTGCTATTATTTGTTTTGAAATCTAGCCCATTCTTTGCAGAAACTTCAAACATAATTCTGTAGAGGGCAAGAAAAAAGGTATTTTTTTTTTCACAGAAAACCATTTTACATATAGATTGGAAATGTAAAAGTCAGCATTCTGTGCTCATGTGTTAGTTAATCTGATCTGGTTAGGTCACTTGGAGCTCAGGTGTGTACAGAATTTAGCCACCCAAAGAAAAAAAAACCTGAGCTGTCAGCCCAAGACTGAGATCCCTCCTACCTTGGTGTCACTTAGAAGAATTATTTTTTTAATTGGATGATGCTGACAGGGTTTTCTTTAAGTTACCCTGGAAGTGTACAATTTACAGGCAAGGAAAAAGTGCTTTCTAGACATGGCGATGGCATGCTCCTTCTAAAGTTATTTGAATTTTCCTTTTCCTAAAGTATCATTTTCTCTCCAAATATTATTCATTTTAATGTTTCATTTTTAAAATGACTTTAGTATTTATGTCATGTTTGACAGTCTGAGTACTGTCTCTGCAAAGATACCTACAGGTCTAGAATTCTAATTCTGATTCTCATTCTGTGAGTCCTGCAGTGCACACAGCGTTGCACTGATAAAGAGACACAGCCCCCTGAGCAGCATTTGCTGTGTCCATCTCTCCCAAGAGCTGGAGCAAGGCTGTCTATGGAACACTCACTTCTATGTAGCTCCAATAATGAGATTGTCAGATTTTGCTGTCAGTTCAAGTGATACTGGAGGACAAATCTGATGAAATATAATGTAATTGTTACTCAAAATGGAATGTTAGAAGGAGTGGTGAAGCAAGGATTAAAAACTCTAAAATATTCAGTATTCCCAAATTTTATAAAAAAAGTAATTTTAGACTACCATGATGTTTTAATTTTAAGATTTCAGCTATAAGATAGTATTTGAAGTTTGTAAAAAATTTCAAAATTATAAAACTTTTAATCACATTTAGTTTACTAAACTGCATTTAATATGTGTTTTATAGTTATGCCTAATAGTCTAATTAATTTAAGTAGTTTACATTTTGTTTTTAATATCAGCAACTGATAAGCAGAACATTTCAGATGCATGACAATATTGAGAGAAATGTAGAATTGCAGCTTTGAATTATTACAATTGGGTTTCTCACGTTCCTTTCATAGTGTTTTTTATTTTTTTGAATATTTCCCAGTTTAATAGTTTTCACCATTGTACAGCATATTATTCTTCAGTTGCACCTATTCCCATAGAGCAAACAGTTTGTTTTATCTTTAATTATTTATTTATAATAATTTTCTTTTTTAGAAGGAAAATTATTTCTTTTTAAAATAAGATACCTCTAAAAATCATATTTCAATAAAAAATATTTTGAGAAGCCTTTCAAATTTTATTACTCTACAATGTTTCATAAGGAATGTATCTAGAACGTATCTTTTGTGATGGACTAAATGCTCAGTATAGTTTTATTCTCACAATCACTTAGAAGATATTTACCTAACCTTTGCTGAAACAGCCTTTCTTACTTTTTATATCAGTTGTCCCTTTTTGTAATGTGTTGAGTAGTTTGCCACATCATTTGAACAGGAAAACAAGGCAGGTATTTCAGGCTAAACCCACAGTCAGACGTTGCCATCTCAATCATCAGCTGAGGGTCTGCATGGGTGCAGTTAATGAGCAAACAGTCTGTGCATGGGATCCAGAGGAGGCAGTCATAGATGACTGTGGAGAAGGAAGAGATGTTAAGCCTTTGTCCTTGTTCTCTTGGATATTCTTCCCTAGAAAAAAAGGTCCCACTGTATCCTGGGGGACATCAGGCACAGCCTGCCTGGCCAGTCACTGTCCCACTCTGCTCTGCCCTGGTGTGGCCCCACCTCACGTCCTGTGTGCACGTTGGGTGCCTCCATAGAAGAAGGACATCAAACTGTCAGACTGTGCAGAGAGTCACCAAGACAGTGAAAGGGGTTGAGGACAAGACTTGCAAGGAGCAGCTGAGGTCCCTTGTGTTGCTCAGCCTGAAGAAGAGAAGGCTGTGGGGTGACCTCATCACTGCCTACAGGTTCCTCAAGGGAGGCAGTGGAGGGGGCGGTGCTGAGCTCCTTTCTCCAGTGACAGCTGTAGGACCTGTCACTGCAGGGAATGGCAGGAGGCTGTGCTGGGGAGGTTTAGGTTGGATATTGGGAAAAGGTTCTTCACCCAGAGGGTGGCTGGGGACTGAACAGGCTCCCCAGGGCAGTGGTCACAGCCCCAGGCCTGACAGAGTTCAAGAAATGTTTGGACAATGCTCTCAGTCATATGGCTCAGATTTAGAGTCCTGCAAGGAGCAGGGAGTTGGGGAGTTGGACTTGATGATTGTCACTCTTGTGCTGGGGTCGGGGCAGGAACAGGCGAGAGGCAGGATCGTAGCAAAGGCAAAGAAAGCTTCATTCAAAAGAACTGTGTGGTTTTTATAGAGTGGTATGATAGATTCTGTTCTATTGGCTAACTAACAGAAACACCTTTCTCATACACTGTCCTTGAGAAGAACAGAAAAATAAAGTAGAAAAACACCACCTGCAAATTGTTAATACTCAACAAGTTATCACATCTTTCCAGCTCCCTAAAACTTCTCACAAGCTGCTGTGAGAAACGCTTGCTGTTTCTCTCTCTCTGTCCCATGGCATCCACAGATGATCTCTATGTGTCCCTTCAGGTTGGAGATTTCTGTGATTCTCTGATTACCTCTCAGCAGAGTACTCTTGTCACTTGGCTACCTGGCTGTTCTCTGCCCCTATTCTGAAAGTTGAATCATTTGGAAGAAAAAATTCAGAATTCATCGAGTTACAGGGTTTTAAAAATGACCATGATCTAGGACATTTAGGATGTTTAATGGGACAAGGAGGATTATGGCTTCCATTCTTTACTCAAAGGATTGTTTCTATATTTTATCAGATAAATCATTTGTGTAAAATGTTTGGATCAGAACAAAGCCCTTTACCAAACTGCAGACCTGGAGAATTATTCTGCATCTTGACCAGAAATATGTCATTTATTTTGTGCCATGACACTGTTTTATGCACCACTGCTCTTAACACTGTAATGTAATAAATATACTTTACATATACATGGAAATATGAAAAAGTGTAAAATGAAGGCTCCAAATTGAAATGCAGCACTGAAACAATGTTCTGACCTTTTGTGACATTAAACTTTAATTGATTATTAGATAAATTTTAATTAAAGCTTAGAGATAGATAATTTCATACCTTTTTTATAGAAAGTAATTTTTCAACGTATAGTCGTGAATGACAAATTCACCTTTAATTAACACATGATGTCATATTGTTATTTTCTAGTTTTAATTAACATGTAATTACTTCCTCTGTTATTTATTAATCTTATAATGTTTCACTTATTGTATTAATTGGATCTGCTAGTTTTGAAAATTTTTATAATTCAGAATCTTCTGATGTTTTTTGTTTCTATGCCATAGTTTCAAAAAGAACATTTTCTTTTTGCATGCTTTAAATTAAAACCAGATCACTTTCTTTTGTAGGCTCTGCAGCTGATCTTTGTAAAATGGCTATGGTGAAGATTTTTGCCTCTGTTGTCATTTCTCCAACTCTAACAGCCAGGTTAGTAATGAATGACTGCAAAACTTCTTGATTTCAAAACAGAATTGGTTTAAATGAATGTGTTTCTGGCATTTTAAGCAGCTCTAGGACTACCATGTTTACCTCCAAGTCTTTTAACAAGCAAGGACATGCAGAATGCTTTTATACATTTAAAGTTATATCTTTGTGCTTAAATGGTTGGATCTATAAATGCATCCCAAGGCGTTGAAGTGCCCCAGGGTCATTTAAGCTCAGTCAGATTGAATTCAGTGGTAGTTCTGCACCTTTGAAATCAAGCCTACTGATCATATCCTTCCTGTATTTGAGTGTATTGTACAGTGGGAATCGAACATTCAATGGGCTGGGAAAAAAAACAGGAATCAGGAAACCAGTGCTCAAGCAAAATAAATGAACATTTTTTCATTCTTATATAGATGGCTTTTCTTTAAAGAGAAGCTTGGTCATCATGATTCTCTTCTGTTGTGACTGCTCAGAGTTGGGTGGGAGATCACAGAATGTCCTCAAAGAGTTTTATGCCAGTAGCAGAAATAATGAAGTCTGCTTTTCCTGTGGAGAAGCTGGTCCAGACAGCTACTGAACATTATTATTTGCTGCAATAAAAAGAGACTTTGAAGTCAAATATGTAGAAAAAACTCCAAATAAGTGGTTTCTCATCTTTGGTAATGCAAAGATTTTGTAGCAAACAATCCAGTAGAACATGAATTGGTGCAGTAGAAGTTCAGACAAAAGCAGAGTAGTGCAAGTAGGGCAGAATATCAATGTTTCTGTTGGCATCTAGAAAGGATGATAACAATTTAGCTGTAGCAATCATGCATTGAGGACTTCTGTAAGTGTGTAGCTCAGTACAAAGAAATAGGGTTTATCCTTCTGAATGTACTTTTATGGGTATTATCTAATCCTATAAGTAATTTGTGTGTATTAGTGTGTGTATCAGTTACACACAGCAGTGTTGTCTTAGCTGATCAGTGTTTGAAAATACAATTTCTAATTACAAATAAAAGTTCAGTTTGTTGAATTCAAAGTAGTTGGATTCATTCCTATGCTAAAAACACAACAACTTCTGAATAACTCTTAAATGTTCTTGCAACTTTTTAAGCAAAATACCATTGAACTATTAAAAAAAAATAAAGTAAGTGACCCACTAGTACAAATCTGAAAAGGGAAATTGTTCTTTGGTGGAGATCCTGCCTGCACTCAGACAATGATACATTTATGTATTAAATGTTGGATGATGCACTATCACATATTGCATTGTACACTGCCAGGCAGATTGCCTGCACTGATTATAATTCATTTTGCTACCTGAGTTGAACGAAGAGCCCAGAATCTGTCAGCTGTGGCATGGATGAAAATTTCTGTAGCAGTAGCAGGCATAACTGAGTTAGATGAGTGATAGAGGAACAGCCAACAGCTTTTAGTGGAGGAGGCAAGTGGAGGTGGTGCAAGGGCAAAGGACATACTACATTCTCTAGTTCCTGCCTGGCACACAGATCTTTAGGTTCAGCAGCTGCCTGTTTGTTGTAATTCTGAGAAAGCCAAAGTTTTTTGCTACTAATGTCATGTCTGATTAAGCTTGTGAATGTTTTTTTCTCTCAACAGAAAATTTTACTTGGGTTTTTCTTTCCTAAAATTATTTATTTTAAAGAAGTAATGTCATCAAATGGCTAAGGAGGTAATGGGGGAAGTATTGGAGCTGTACATGTTGAAATTCCTGGTGTTGTGAAAGCATAGGGGAATGGCTACACCAGATAACAGAAAAATATCACTGCCTATCCTGCTTGTTCCTATCATAAATGTCACAGCTGGGAAAGACCAACACTGCAAGGTCATTTAAAAAGGATAGACTGTATTAAACAGGGGTTTTGAACTTCTGCCAGCCATTAACAACTGGATGGCTTTGCTAGAGGAGAGTGTTTTAGTAGTCAATAATGGCTCCTTGCTGTAATATTTAGTAGGTACTTACAGACCAGGCTTGTCAGAAAAGCACAATCAATGCCTTTGTAAATTCTGTAAACACTTCCCTGCTTGGACAGTGGCATTTGAAAACGTCATAAGGATCTTGCCAAAAGAATATGGGACTGAAACTTGAAATACTGTGTTTCTGCTTGTCTGCCAGGTCACATTCAGTTAGGTTTTTTCCAGTGGTCTGTTTCTTGATTTTCTTATCAGTCAGGTCAGGATAATGATTCTAACATCCTTTATAAAACCTTTTGAAAAATATTGTTGAAAGGAAGTGTGGACATAATTGGTGCTATTGTAACAGTGGGAATGTACAGTAGCTCTTCCAAAATAAGAAACATAATCAATCTCTTATTATCACTCCATCAGATCATATTCATTCCAAAGACAGCATACAACTATCTTTTCTTCTATCTTCATACCCCTGTAAGTGTCTTTATTTCCCTGTTAGAATTTCTAATTTTGGAAACAGGATTTTCACTTTGAACAGCATATCAAAGGGAAATATCATTTTTACATGCTTTAGAAGTGATTATGAACATTTACCCTGGGAGACAGTATTCTATTAAGCATAGCTAAGTTTTGGCTAACACTCAACATTTTGTCTTCCTTACCTTAGAAATAGAGAAAAAAATAATTCTAAATAAGTTCTTACAGTTTTTAGTGTTAGTTTGCAGGTATGCTTGCAGTCTTCACTCTCAACACTGCATTCATTGTTCCTGTGCTGGAGGCTGTTCAGCAGTGAGCAAGCTCTGACCCAATAGTGTGAAGCTTCATTTTTGTGTGACTAGCAGTCAGTAGATTTTTAGTTCTTGTTTGCACATATGACACTGTATTTGGAAGTCAGGAAAGGTGATTAAGTTACATTTTCATGATGCTTCATCAGAGAGGTGTTCTTGATGAAACAGTGTGATCAATTCTGTCAACTAACAATCTCATTTTTCTCTTTATGTTTCTTTATCTTCTAACTCAAATACTAGCCTAGCAGCTTACGCAGTTGACAGTAACAAGGCAATCAATTACTTGGAAGCAATTTTACAGAAATCAGGAAAAGTTGTATTAAATGTAATATATATGATACAGATCTAATATTAGTATGGGTTGACTACTGGCATCAGTGTTAATATCTCTGCATTTTGTGTGGTGCTGACAAGTAATCAAAAGTTTTCAGACTTCTCCTGTATTACCTAGATCTTTCTTAAGATGTTCTGCTGCTGCTGTCCAAGTTGCTCACTGAAAATGTGCTGCTAGCATAAATTATTGAAGTGCCAGCTTTTTACCCATCTGATGCAATCCACAGAACCTCCTCATGATGTTTCCTGCAGGCAGATGATAGCAGACAAACTTTTGAAACGAGATCAAGGCATACAGTAGCAGCTGAAAGAAAGATTTGTGGAATTGATGAGAGTGCAAAGGTGAACTTGGTGAACTCATATGGACAGTTGTATTCTTTTCTGTGTTTAAAACATCACTGCAGTGAGAGTCACATGGAAACTTAGTGAGAAAGAAGGGTGCTGGCAAGTTGTGGAAGAATTGCTGCCTATAGCATTGCTTGTACATATTATCATTTTGTAAGCTGAAGAAGCACTGATGTTACCCAAAGTCTACCAGATATTACATGGACTTCTCAGTATCTCAACAACATGCACATGAATTTTAACAAGTCTACAGAACTATTGAGTAATTTGGTGTGAATCCACCAAATCTGCTTTTGCACGAAATTATTGTTCCTTCAGCACTGGACCTGTGCCACAAACACACAGCTTTACTTCTCAGCATGTCTGGAGCCCAGTTAAAGAGACAGGTTCAACCACAGGCCAAATATAAATGAGTAATCTGAAAAGGAGAAACCATCAGCAAATAAAAGGAAAAGGTTTATTTTCTTGGTTGATCCCAGCTGCTTTTCAATAGCAGTGGATGTTGGAGTTTTGTAGGTCTTCCTCAAGGAACACCTTAATCAAGCTAATGATTTTCTGTGCTGGTGAACTGTAAATACAACTCACTTCTACAGATATCTAAATTAGTTAGAAACAGCTCTTATTGTCCCAGTAACAAGTATTGTTTTATGTGACCTGGATTTTTTCAGATACAAGTCATGTGATCAATCAAAAATTATTAATTTCTTAAAAGTGGCTTTCAGTTTTAGTACAACACAAGAATCTAGCAGCATTTTTATAAGGTGTGTAGGGATTCAATAATTATTACTTTATAAACTGCTTATAATCTCCCAGATTCATACAAAAGGGCATATTAATAAGCCCAACTTCCTGATTGCATCACAGTTTCAAACAAATAAATGAAGTAAAATTCGTAGTGCTGCTGCTATGTGTGTTGATCATCTTTAATTCTGGGCTTAAAAATTACATCCATCTATCTGTTTCTTCAGGAGTGAAAGAACTGTTTTTACTCATGTTTCTTCTCTTGCAGTTAACCAGGATTTTCAAATAAATGCTTTTTGCTCTGGTGTTCTGCCCACAAGTCCCACTCAGTATGTGCCCAAACTTCCTTAATGTATTAACTGTAGCAAGATGATTAACTTTTATCCTTAGCCTGATACTGGAGAAATTGAAGCACAAGGAAAAAATAAATTCTGGATTCTGCTTGAGAGAAGAATAAGATTGTCGTTTCACAGACAAATGCTTTTGTTTCTGTAGCAGAAGGAAATTTCTGAGGTCATATTGCACTCTCAATAGCTGTTGTCTAATGTGTAGCTCTTTGCCTCCCAAAGTAGCCAAATAACATTGAATTTCTATGCAAGCTGTAACTTTAAAAAATCATCACTTTCCTCAAGCAACCAAAGCAGTATTTTGCATGTATCCACAAGATGGTGAGCTGTTACCTGAACACTTCATGCTCAGTGAGCCAGAGCAAATCAGACTAATTTATTCTTTATAGAAAGAGCCAAGTACATTTAAAATGCTGAAATATCACAGCCAAAAGGGACATGCATGATTTAGCAGGTTTTTCACTATTCCTTTATGTAAGACATTCAATACAAATAAATATATTTCATTTATAAAACCTTTTTGTAGGTCACCTTT